CTCACTCAACAGAATTACAAATCAGGCCAAAAAGTTACAGACTCATGTCTCAAAATCTAACACTGAATCACTGGAGCACATCTGGACTCTGCAAGTATGTGAGTATGCACATAATACAGGTAGCTCAATGGCAAAGAGAGGTGAGCTTCTGGCTAATGAACATTTGAGAAGAATGACACTTCTGGAGAAGCATAGAAGCTCTTTGTCCTTTTCGTATATCTCATCTGATGTATCTTCCTCTGGCTGCTGATTCTTTAGGTGGACAAAAAAAAGATAAAGACTATCAATGAGGATGTTAAAATGATAATTAGATATAGCCCTTGCTGAATGCTAGACACTTCCCTATTACAGATGCTGAAACCACAGCAGAAAGGTAAAGTGATTTATCCAGAGTTCTATGTGCAAACCATTGCCAGCTGGGATAATCTGGGAGGCAGAAAGCAGAAGCCAGCGCTGTGGCCACTGGCGAGAGTGGCTGCCTGTTACAGCCACAGGTGTGTGTGCCAGTTTTGTGTAAAGCCTCTCACCTTGTCCTCACCAGCAGGCCTTTTAAGCTGAGCATTCCTGTACCTGGTTTCTGGCTTCCTGACTGAGGCCAGGAGTTGTGATGGTGACAGACAGTAGAGGGCCCTGGATTTGAATCTAGAACTACAGCAGCAGCAGTATACCCCCAGAGCTCACCTCTGTGGTGACAAACAGAGGACTGAAGGTTTCTCTGAACCAGCCCATCCCTGCCTACACTGCAGATCCTAGACCAGCTGTCTCCATTTGGACCCTTCCTCATGCCACGGATTCCTTGTCCTGGAGTTCTTCTAGAGGGTGGTGTGGAGTTAGACTCAGCCCAAGCCAGATCTTCGCTTCTTCATCTGGAAAATGAGGAGTTGCGAGTAGAGGGGGCGGGGATAAACAGCAGGTCTAGGATCTGCACAATGCTTTGTCAAAAGCCTCTTCTCTCCAGCGCAGATTGGGATGAGGTCCTGACCTCAATGAGCAGTGGTGGGAAGAAGCCCGTTTGAGCTTCCAGAACTTCACCAGGATTTCTCCCAGAGAACCTCATGCACAGACCCTGTGTTCCAGTCTACCCTCCTCACGGCTTGTGTAACTCTGAAAGTGATCTTTCTTAAACGTGTTCACCAATTAAGGTCCCACCTTCTCCAGTCCTTCCCCTACACTGCCCAGGTAAGAAAAATGAGCCCAGAGAGGAGCAGTCTTTTGCCCGAGGTCACACAGGGAATAGCTGGGAGGGTTGGGGGTGGGGCTGAAGGGGGGAAGCGGTGTTGTGGAATTCCAGGCGGACATTGGCGCCCGCTTGTCTGCCCGCTTCTGATACCCGGGTTCGGGAGAATAGGCCGCTAACAAGCGGCCCATTAGGAGGAATTGTCACTCCTCTGGGAGCGAGGTTGTCCCATTAGGGCGAATTGTCATTCCTCCTGGAGCGAGGTTGTCCCGGCTCCGCGCAGGCTGAGTGCCGAGGCCGAGAGCAATTAACGCGGCTCCGGCGCGGGCAGCCGCCTCTGCCCCGGGCAGCGGGGGCGG